AGTAGTAGTAGTAGTCGTAGTAGTAGTGGTAGTAGTAGTAGTAGTAGTAGTAGTAGTAGTAGTAGTAGTAGTAGTAGTAGTAGTAGTAGTAGTAGTAGTAGTAGTAGTAGTAGTAGTAGTAGTAGTAGTAGTAGTAGTAGTAGAAGGGGTAGGCGAAGAATCACATGTGATTGTCACTCGACATTCCTAACTCTGCCTCGTAGTTACCACACACAAAAACGCCGCATGTCTCAAAATTAGCTTTGGCAAAAATAACAAATAAATAACGAAAATGTTAAATGTGACTTCACCCCACGTTTGCTTGACTCGCACAGGTGAGACACTGAGCCTCGTAAACAGGTAAGCAAATCATTTATGGTTCATCTTCCTGCCTCACGCAAATATTTGTTTACTTTTGTCAAATGTAAGGCTAACAAAATTGCCAAGAATGTTTTATTTACCTTCACTAGTTATGGCAATTTGGCATTTGATTCATCATCATCATGTACCCTGCCAACTGGCGTAGGCGCTCATGCGTGTCCACAGATCAGGATCCCTGGTTGACTGGAACAGCTCCCTCTATGCCATCCTTTCAGCCCATCCAGCATCATCTCTCTTGGTCTGCCTCTACACCCATTTCCCACTGATCTTTCCACTTGTCACGATGTTCTCCAATGTCTCTTTTTCTTATTACTTGGCCAAAGAACAGGGTTTGTCTCTTTCTTCTTGTTGCATATAGAGATCTACTTTCATTAGCTTCTTTCAAGCAATCGTTGTAAGTTAGTTAGGAAGGCCAAATAAAAGATGGGTGCAGGATGAGGCGGATGATCTCCAGATGGGTGTATCGGACACGGGACATCTTGCTTATAATCGAAAAGTTTCTGGAGGGTTGTTATTGGACAAAGGTTTTGCAAACGAAAGGACATGCTACTTATTGACTGGCTGACTGACTGACTGACTGACTGACTAACTGACTGACTGACTGACTGACTGACTGACTGACTGACTGACTAACTGACTGGCTGATTGACTAACTGACTGACTGACTGACTAACTGACTGACGTTTAAGTTGATTTGCTTCAAAGATTCTTTCCGGGAAATCCTACAGGTTCATTGCCGATTTCGTTAGCATTCGTGGGCGATAGGTCTTTCTATTCTTCTTCATCTTTTGTCGTCTCACTGATACCAGGATGTAGCCCAGTGTCGGGGTTCTGTCGTCTCGCTGATACCAGGTTGTATCTCACTGTCGTGCTTTTGTCGTCTCACTGATACCAGGTTGTATCTCACTGTCGTGCTTTTGTCGTCTCGCTGATACCAGGTTGTATCTCACTGTCGTGCTTTTGTCGTCTCACTGATACCAGGTTGTATCTCACTGTCGTGCTTTTGTCGTCTCACTGATACCAGGATGTAGCCCAGTGTCGTGGTTTTGGCGTCTTACTGATACCATGTTGTATCTCACTGTCGTGGTTTTGTCGTCTCACTGATACCAGGTTGTAGCCTAGTATTGTGGTCTTGTCTCTCACTGATACAAGGTTGTAGCCCAATGTCGTGTTCTGTCGTCTCGCTGATACCAGGCTGTAGCCCAGTGTCGTGTTTTGTTGTCTCACTGATACCAGGTTGTAGCCCAGTGTCGTGGTTTTGTCGTCTCGCTGATACCAGGTTGTAGCCCAGTGTCGTGGTTTTGTCGTCTCGCTGATACCAGGTTGTAGCCCAGTGTCATGGTTTTGTCGTCTCGCTGATACCAGGTTGTAGCCCAGTGTCATGGTTTTGTCGTCTCGCTGATACCAGGTTGTAGCCCAGTGTCATGGTTTTGTTGTCTCACTGATACAAGGCTGTAGCCTAGTGTCGTGGTTTTGTTGTCTCACTGATACCAGGCTGTAGCCCAGTGTCGTGTTTTGTTGTCTCACTGATACCAGGCTGTAGCCCAGTGTCGTGGTTTTGTTGTCTCGCTGATACCAGGTTGTAGCCCAGTGTCGTGGTTTTGTCTCTCACTGATACAAGGTTGTAGCCCAGTGTCGTGGTTTTGTCTCTCACTGATACAAGGTTGTAGCCCAGTGTCGTGGTTTTGTCTCTCACTGATACAAGGTTGTAGCCCAGTGTCATGGTTTTGTTGTCTCGCTGATACCAGGCTGTAGCCCAGTGTCGTGTTTTGTTGTCTCACTGATACCAGGTTGTAGCCCAGTGTCGTGGTTTTGTCGTCTTACTGATACCAGGTTGTAGCCCAGTGTCGTGGTTTTTTGTATTTGTCTTGTCCTTCTCGTGTGGCTTAGCTAAGGAATTTCTTCATCTTTAGTGCAGGTTTCAGCTGCACCATTTAATCATCGCTTTTTTAACCTTCCTCCCAGATATTCTGCTGTAAAAAGTCTAACATTCAGTTTGGTCTGGCTGCATTTTCACTGCATTGCTGAACCGTTTCATTCTTTTTCAATATAATTCAGAAATGGGGATAGGGTTAAGACTGAAATGTGAAATTCTCAAGAAGAATGACAGCCAACAACCCACACCAACAGTTCTACTTACCTTGTCTATAAATTTCTTTAATCGATTTACAGTTTGATTGACTTGGTTGATCAACGTTCTCGCTTTTTCCCACATCCGGACTCTGTTAGTGAACAAATCAGGCATAAGACAATCACGATCTGCATAAAGAAACATGTCGTACAAAACATCTTTATTGTCGAGCAGTGCTACAAGTGCCAGACATTGTCCCTTACAATAAACCCTGCAAGGCAATCAATAGCTATGAAAATGAGATGTCTGTGTAGTGCATTAGGTGTGAGCAGAAGAGACCAAATCAGGTAGGAAGTCACAAGATAAAACGTTGGGACGGAACCAATTCTAAATTACACACAAAGACAGCAAAACAAATGGTTTGGCCACTTAGAGAGAATGTCTTGTGATACTATACAATACAGGGCATAGGCTAAGCGAGAAGAAAGACGTAGAGCACGAGGTAGACCAAGAACAAAATAAACAGATAACATCAAAGAAACTCTACAACCGCACGATGTGTTTATGGTCGAGACGGTCTTATATCTCCCTCGAACAACGAATCGGTAAAAGAGGAGGTGAAAAAGACAATGACGATCTCAGAGAATGTACAGCAAGGATGAGAGAGCGAGAGAGAGAGGGGGGCAGAGAGAGACAGAGCGAGAGACAGAGAGCACCAGAGAGAGTCAGCTAGAGTGAGAGAAAGAGTCAGTGAGAGAGAATGAGAGAGACAGTGTGAGAGAGAGAGAGAGAGACAGAGAGCGACAGAGAGAGCGACACCGATAGAGAGCGCAAGAGAGAGAGAGAGAGAGAGAGAGAGCAAGAGAGAGCGAGAGACAGCACAGACAGACACAGAGAGAGTGTGTGTTTTGGAGATTGCTTGAAGCCAACCTGCATTGCAGAAACACGACCTGACTGTCGGACTCATTTATCGTGCACCCTCCCTCTGCCAGACCCCACTTCAAGATGTAGCTCTATCCTTCTTCTCCTCTTTCCCCTGCATTCTCTTTCTTCTTCTTTTCACCCTCCACCTCCACCCCCCCAAACCCCTTCACATTCCTCTTACTGACATCACTGTCTTTTCAGCCTGACTTCTCTTCAACACGCTCTTACCCACACATACACACACACACACACACACACACACACACACACAGGCATCCCCTTTTACCCCCGTGTGGGTTCCGGGGCCCTATTGTGGGGAAAACAAGAATAGACCCACTGCCTCCCCAAAAGCATGTCGTAAGAGTCGACTAACCGGGGAGCTTCTTTTGAAGTCTGAGTGCATCTGCCTGAGAGGCAAGGAACCAGCAGTCTGCATTCAATTGAATCAGATCTGTAAAACTGATGCACATGCAACACTCAGGTTCTGGAGCATGACTGCAGTTCAGTAGTGGACGAACAACCAGAACTTTACGCCAGAGTGTACAGCTGGTGAACAAGAAGAAGAAGAAGAATCCCCTTTTAGCTCTGCTAGAAGTACAGGACGGTATTCCCACCCCTTTCCCTAAAAGTACGCACTACCCGAACCTTTTATAATGCATACTTTTTTTCCAGCACCACTATAATAGACAAATTATAGAAAGCACCTTTTTTTAAGAGAAACAAAAACACCCTGACCGAGTGCACACCATCCACCCGTCTTTCCAAACTGTATTTATTTATTTGGAACCCCCAGGGATGTTTTAGAAATGGTGATTGCCCAAATACCGGCCTCTTAAACCTGACACGGATAAACAAATTGTGTTGAATTTCTCCTGAAAGAATTGTGTATATTATGCCACTCCAGGTGGACAGCCATTTTGGGTGTCCTGTTTGTTGATCTCTTCCTGTGAGGAAGTGACGTCAGCAGTTTAGAGTTACCGTTCTTGGTTTGTCCTTTTATTTTCTTTCTCTTTCGGCCGTGAGGGGTGTTTGTCCCTGTCGATCGTTATTCATGGTTGGCCGTGAGAGCCTTTTTGTTAATGTTGGTCGTGAGACAGTGTTTGTCAGTGTTGGTCGTGAGGCGGTGCTTGTCTCTGACAGAAATTAACATGAACGAAAACCGAAATTACCACGAAAATAAATATAAATTAACATGTAAATAAACATGAACTAACAAGAAAGTAAACAAAGTTTAACAAGAAATTAAACAGAGATTAGCACGAAAGTAAACACAAATTAGACCGAAAATAAACAACAACAACAACAACAAAAAAAAAACATAAATTAACACGACATTAAAACAAAATTCACTGGGCAAAAAAAAATAAATGTAAGCGATTTTGTTCTTTATTAATATCCTCCCCTAGATGACGTCACAGGACAGTCCACTATTTTAGAGGGTGGTAAGACTGGGTTTACCAGCTTTCAGATGCTTTTAACGATCCCAAACATCTAGAACTGGCCCTAACCCTAACCCACCTACATCCCACCTACGTCCAGCCTATCTATCACCCCCTGAAATATTAGACTGTCCCGTGACTTGTGGATTTTCCCTGTTTGGGGTAGGATATTAATAAAGCGCCAGCGATCGCACACCGAAATTAACTGGACAATGCACAAACAAACACTGACTTGATGGTCGAGGAGAAACTTTTAGTGGCCAGCGAGTTCTGGAAAGGCATGAAGAAGAACATATCAACGTCCCATTCGTTGAGCATCGAAGGAATGCGGTTCTGTGAATCAAGAGGTAAAAGCTTTTCAAACTAGTCGTTTTGTTGACATACGTTTTAGACAAACATAAATTCAGTCTAATGCAGTGTTTTCCAAACTTTTTTTTTTGTCGCGGCGCCTTTTTTCCAATTAAAAATTTTCCACGGCGCCCTAACCTAAGTAAAAGTATGACTACTCGTATGTAAGAGATGGAACAAAATCATGTATCTTCGAATATTTCGTGGCGCCCCTGTGAAGAGGTCGCGACTCCCCGGGGACACCGCAGCGCAGAGTTTGGAAATCACTGGTCTAGTGGCAAAATAGGGGTAAAACTAACCTCTTTAGGGATATCGGGGTCATATGTAGATTACCGTGTACGACTAAGACATTCCGATTCCTCCAGGTTTAGAATGCTTTTTAAGTTTAGACGACGGATCAACATCATGGCTCAAGAATAGTAACCCATAAGTCCTCCGTTTTACTTCTGGCTCAAGCCTGAGTCCGAAAAATCTTAGTGCAGTGCAGCAACTCTGTAGCATCGGTGGGGATCCTGAAATGTTTCGGGTAGATTAATAACTCCAAATTTCGCCCGGGCAGCGACGTTAGGCTACTCTTTTCGATTCCCAACTGCCAATGGATTTTGTTTACGTGCGAAACAATACACACGGGTCTCCGATCTTACTACTCAGAGACCAGGAAAAATTACTAGAAATCCACTTGAAAAAATCCTAGCCTTTACCGGCGCTTAAACCCGGGACCTCCAGCACTCGAGATGGACGCCATGCCCAGAAACCACGCAGATCCTTATGATTCCTCTGAAAATTCTATTGTCAGTTATCCACAGTAGAAATGCAGTAAAAAAAAAAAAAAAGGTAAAGTCGGGAGATGTGAACCAGCGTCATTGCACACGGTTTTAAACCATACCTGCTCTGCCACCGGTACAGACAGCTGATAAGAAACTGTCCGAGCCTGTGTCACCGTCCTCATCTTCACCAGCCAGTGAAGAGTTCCGATTCCGATGGTGTCAATAGCAGTTTGATTTTTGTTGGTTTGCATGACCAGATTCATTGGTGACTCCCAGCTGTACCATTCTCTCCAGACCATAATGATCATCTTCCCAATTCTTCTGTTGGTCCCAAAGGGCCTTGGCCAAATCTAGCCTGCCAATCATAAATCCTGGTGCAGAACCAGCCAGTCTGTCTGCTCACTCATTTCCCAACATGACCAAGCACAATGCAGTAAAAGAGATAGCTAACTTACCACAGATACCATGTGACTTGATCTCTTCAAAGTTATGGCTCTTTTCATCAAAGCGATCTGCTCATTTATCTGTTTGGGGAAAAACAATACATGATGGGTTTGGATTAATTTTTTCTTAAAATATATTCCTATATTTTCATTTTCAAAGCTGGAGAGCCACTACAAATATGGAACAATAGTTACATGTATTTAAAATCAAATCAAATCATCATCATGTACCCAGCCAACTGGCGTAGGCGCTCATGAGTCTCCACAGATCACGATCCCTGGTTGCCTGGATCAGCTCTCTTGATGATATCCCTCCATGCCATCGTTTCAGCCCATCCAGCATCATCTCTCTTGGTCTGCCTCTATCCTTTTTTCCATTTTTCCAGTTGTCACGATGTTCTCCGGTGTCTGTCTTCTCATTGTGTGACCAATTTATTTGTAATAAATAGTAAACAGTTAAAATAAACAGTAAAATAATTGTTTCTTTGGCAATAGGACATATTAACAGCATTTGCAGCTGTTACAAGCCTCGTCTCGCCACTAACGTTAGCAAAAAACACAGCGAGTTCCAAATAAGGTCGCACAGCTCAACGGGAATTCCCATTTTTATGGAGGCCCGCCGTGCTGATCATTGTTACCGAGTAGATTTATATTCAAATTAAACTATACTTTAATTAATTTGTCACTTAATGAATTATCATTTTGAAGATAAAAAAAAGTGGGATATTTAAATAATAATAATAATAATAATAATAATAATAATAATAATAATAATAATAATAATAATAATAATAATAATAATAATAATAATAATAGCCCACTTAATTGTAAATTATTTAAACTATTGTTTAATTTATGTATAAATCTACGATGTAACAACAGTGAGCATCGGCCGGCGTCCCAAAAAAACGGGAATTCCCGTTGAGGCGTACGGTATTATCTGGAGCTGGCTATGGCGAAACATCATATTATTTGACACAACTTTACAGACCTGGTCCGGGAACGAGGCTAGCCGCTTGAGGTATCTCTGAAAGTCGTGCTCACTCTCCAACCTGGCATACAGAGGCCACTGAGGTCCTTTGGCCAGGCCCTCCAGGAAGTTGATGGAGTTCAGGGCGCCATAGCTGCAAGTCAAGAACAACCGAAAAAAATGAGCTCATCAGCACTGTCGATAATTTTAAAAGCCCTGTGGATTAGAGGTTATTGAACACTTTTTAAGTTAAAGGTTAAAGGTAAAGTCAGGAGATGTGAACCAGCGTCATTGCACATGGCTGTAAACTTTAAGTGCTCTGCCCCCAGTAAGGACAACTGATAAGAAACTTTAAGCCTGTGTCGCCGTGCGCACGATTCTCCTTAGCTACAGCGACATTCCTCCATTTACCCCAGAGTGTTAACTCTGGTACCCTTTACCTAGAGGCTGGGTGAGCCCAGGTTGGGTTTTTACAATTTAGTTCAGTTTAAACCTAAACCTTTAAAAAGCGTTCAATAAACCCCAATAAATCCCTTGACGTATCAGGGTTTGAAGAATCATCGGCGACTGGATCGCCCATTAGCTCGCCCGTGGACGACTTCGTCTGTGTCAGAACTGATTGAAAGAACACGAGAAATATACTCTTGCGATGAAATATACAAGGCAAACTACTGAACGTAAATTTGCCTAGAAAAACCAAAACAGCCAAAAATGCTGGGGTTGGTTCTGCAACGTCCTGTAAAGGGATACGCAACTAACATACCATTGCATTAATTTCAACACTACCCCAGGACCCCGAAATAAAAACGCACTGCAGAGTAAACTACCAGCCCCTATCCTTTCTGCTTCCAGGAAGCCCCCACAAGCCCACGCTTATGTAAATGATGGCTGCCCAAGCCCAGAATTACTGTACTTTACGCAGCCCAGAGAGGCTCTGCCAGATAATAACAGGTTGCTGAAGGCTACAATCTTGCCTGATTGTCTTTGCTGAGCAGAATGTAACTCTGAGAGATTATTCTGTTTTGGGCTTTTTGGTCTTCCTATTTCTATGGCAGGGTAAGCTGATAGAAAATATTGTTTATCTATCTATCTATCTATCTATCTATCTATCTATCTATCTATCTATCTATCTATCTATCTATCTATCTATCTATCTATCTATCTATCTATCTATCTATCTGTCTGTCTGTCTGTCTGTCTGTCTGTCTGTCTGTCTGTCTGTCTGTCTGTCTGTCTGTCTGTCTGTCTGTCTGTCTGTCTGTCTGTCTGTCTGTCTGTCTGTCTGTCTGTCTGTCTGTCTGTCTGTCTGTCTGTCTGTCTGCCTGCCTGTCTGTCTGTCTGTCTACCTGTCTGTATGTCTGTCTGTCTGTCTGTCTGTCTGTCTGTCTGTCTGTCCGTCCGTCCGTCCGTCTTCTTCTTCTTCTTCTTCTTCTTCTTCTTCTTCTTCTTCTTCTTCTTCTTCTTCTTCTTCTTCTTCTTCTTCTTCTTCTTCTTCTTCTTCTTCTTCTTCTTCTTCTTCTTCTTCTTCTTCTTCTTCTTCTTCTTCTTCTTCTTCTTCTTCTTCTTCTTCTTCTAGTGCTTCTTTCACTACTGCTACAGCTGCTGCTGCTGCTGCTGCTGCTGCTGCTGCTGCTGCTACTACTACTACTACTACTAATTTTTCTTCGGTTTTTTCTCCTTCTTCTTCTCCATCTTCTTTTTTATTCTTATTCTTCTCCTCGCTCTCCTTAATTCCTCTTTTACTCTTCCTCATCTACTAATCCTCCTTCTCCTTTATTATTATTCTTCTTCGACATCAAATGTTTGAAGGTTTGTCTGGACATTATCTCTCCATCGTCTTCTAGGTCTGCCTCGTGGTCTACGAACATTCAGCTCCCTGGTGTTTACAGTTTTCACCTCTCTGTCCTCTGACATTCTCGTAATATGCCCCAGCCATTTCAACCCTTGCTTCTTAATCTCCTTTGACTGCTCTCTATGTTATGCCAGAAATCCCGTCTCCTTCTCTCTCATATACTATCTCAATTCCCCCCCCCCCCAGTATGTGCGTGCGCGCGCGCGCTTGCATGTGTGCGTATAATAAGATTACACATTCTTCACCATGTTATTACACCGGGACCTCTATCCACACGAAGATTTTTGGCAACACAATTTACTCTTCCCGCATTACCCTAGCTTCCGGCCAATGATGTATTGTGGGACTTTGGCAGGATATATTAAATCCCAGTTGATGAATTCTGCCTCGACAGCCCACACACAATTTATACACAATACCGCTTCGTTTTGTAAAGCTCATCTGAATACAGCCAGAAAAAATAAATTTGTAAGGAGCAAGAAAGGGAAGAACTGATACAATTGTTGTGTCATAGAACTGGAGGAATCAATATTTTGAAAGTATGGAGAATCGAATTGTATGTTTATAACTAAACTAGAATTATCATGAAGACGTCTTTTCAGTATTTGATAGAGATTTTGTTATACAGTTCGACGAAAGAGGAGGAGGAGAATGAGAAGCAGGAGAAGAAGCAGGAGGAGGAGAAGAAGAAGAAGAAGAAGAAGAAGAAGAAGAAGAAGAAGAAGAAGAAGAAGAAGAAGAAGAAGAAGAAGAAGAAGAAGAAGAAGAAGAAGAAGAAGAAGAAGAAGAAGAAGAAGAAGTGAAAGAAGAGGATGAGCATCAGGGGAGTAGAAGAAAATGAGCAAGAGAATGATAAACCCGAAAAATTTTTTTTTAAAAAGCTGTCACTAAAAAACCATTCACGTATATTACACATACAACTCACTCGCGCCATTTGTAACCATCAACAAAGGTTTGCAGATATGACGTCAGAATTCTCACTTCTCGTTTGTTGACCTTTGACAGATGACCTGTGTCAAGGGCTTTCAATCGGGTAATGTATCCGTTTGTTTCATTCTGGAAGAGAGACAACAAAAATATGTTTACCAATTTGGGAAAGAGTAAATAATCTTGGATGTTATCTTATGATACACTTACGGTGGATATTAAATGTTTAACTCTTTGAGTCCCAGGGAACGCAGTATACGTTCGTAGGTTCTTGGTAAGAAGCCCAATAAACGCATGATGCGTCGATTTTAGTCTTACTCTACTACCCCTTGGGCCTGCGATGTTAAACCCCCTGGGACTCCAAGAGTTATTCTGCTATAGGGGTTGAATTCAGTTCTTCTTCTTCTTCTTCTTCTTCTTCTTCTTCTTCTTCTTCTTCTTCTTTTTCTTCTTCTTCTTCTTCTTCTTCTTCTTCTTCTTCTTCTTCTTCTTCTTTTCTTCTTCTTCTTCTTCTTCTTCTTCTTCTTCTTCTTCTTCTTCTTCTTCTTCTTCTTCTTCTTCTTCTTCTTCTTTTTCTTCTTTCTTCTTCTTCTTCTTCTTCTTCTTCTTCTTCTTCTTCTTCTTCTTCTTCTTCTTCTTCTTCTTCTTCTTCTTCTTCTTCTTCTTCTTCTTCTTCCTTCTTCCTTCTTCCTCCTCCTCCTTCTTCTCCTCTGCGTACCTTGGCTGCAAATCCGGTGTTCGCCGACCTCAAGACTTAGTTCTTGTTACAGAACCTGGGTGTTGCGTGCACATCCACTTTACAAATCTGCCTTACTTGTAAACAGACTGTTGGTTCCTAGCCTCTCAGGCATAAACACTCCGAACTGGAAGGAAGCCCACGATTAGCCGACTCCTACGACATGTTTATTGCAGAGGTTGTGAGTGTTTTCTTGTTTTCCACCCAGAACCCACACAGAACCCACCTAGAATCTACCCAGATCCCATATAGAACCCACACAGAACCCACCTAGAATCTACCCAGATCCCATACAGAACCCACACAGAACCCACCTAGAATCTACCCAGATCCCATACAGAACCCACACAGAACCCACCTAGAATCTACCCAGATCCCATACAGAACCCACCCAGAACCCACACAGAACCCACCTAGAATCTACCCAGATCCCATACAGAACCCACCCAGAACCCACACAGAACCCACACAGAACCCACCCAGAACCCATACAGAACCCACACAGAACCCACACAGAACCCACCCAGAACCCACACAGAGGACGTCAGCTGACAGTTATCATTAATTTTTTTTTTTTTTAGTTTTTTAAAATTATCATTACATCAGTAATGTTTGAACATTTCCGTCTTTTGATCTTGAATACTGGACTTTTTTGGGGATCCCCGGTGTTTCGTTTTGTTTGGGGTGCTCTAAAATAAAAGTCCCAAAAAATTTACTAAAAAAAACAACAATTAACTCTGACTACATTAGTGGCAACATTGTTCATTTTATCTACAAGAGCAAGAGGAGGTCTCGGAAAACATGGATAGACAACATTAAAAACACTCTACGCCTTTACAGCATGACAATAGCCAGTGGCAGCCAGCGTGTACTGGATCGCAAACTATTCCTCCCCACAACGTTTAACGGCAGAGGTGGTTTATGATGATGATGATGATCAGCGAAGAATCAGCGAAGACACTTCACGACTGAAAGATACATTGCAATTTTTATAGTTGTTTTCCTGCCAAAAATCTCTACTAAAAAAAACTATTGTAATAAATTCTCCTTGTTGAAGCTTTTTACGCGCGGGTGCAAAATAATCCATCGGACTGGTTCATAAAAGAAAGATTTATGTTAGGATCTGAATTTCTTTGCCCGGTTATCTCCGTAATTGTTTTAGACTTCTGTCGTATATCACACGCGACGCTCTTAGCTCTGGGTTCGAAACCCCTACTCAGAAGGCTGCGTTTTCTCGGGGCATGGTGTTCGCCTCGAGTGCTAGAGGTCCCGGGTTCAAGCCCCGGTGAAGGCAGGGATTTTTTGACGTGGACTTCTAGTAATTTTAGCTGGTGTCACGTGCGGAAATGCACAAAAACACACCGTTACTAAATGAGCACATTGGACGTCAAAACAATAGGTAATGTTGTTAGGGAATTGGTATCTAGAGGATTCGGAGTATAAAGTTTGAAGGAGACAGACGTGTGGTCGTGTCTCAGTGGATCCTTAATGACGCTCTACCCCGGGATTCCACGTAGCAACTTCAGCCGTGAGCTGTACATTGATTATTGTGCTCGACAAGAAGCCGGTACATTTAAAACTAACCGATCTCCTGTTTCGTCGTTGGGAATCAATCTCTGACTGTTCTACCACACTTGGCTGGTGGCAATGTAACTTATTTGATGCCGCATTCGTTTGTACCTGATCAAACGTTTCAAATGGAACCTACGCCTTTTAGCATCGGGGCGCAAGTTTCACCTGGTTTCTGGGTAGTAAGACCGGACGCTCGTGTGTATTGTTGTGCACTTAAAGAAAATCCTCCGGCAGTTGGAAATCGAAAAGAGTAACCTAACAGCGCTGCCCGGGCAAAATTTGGAGTTAAAAATCTACCCAAAGTATTTCAGGATCCTCGCCGGTGCTTCAGAATGCATGCATTACGCTGAGAATCGTCAGACTTATGCTTAAGTTAGAAGAAGAACGGAGCACTTATGCTGCACTAGTAGTGCCATAATGTTGGTCCGTTAAATAAACAACCAAACGAAATTTGTTTCAATGGCTGCATAGTCCGTTGCAGAAATCGTGCCCAAATTTAAAAATCGGAAACTCGGTAACGTCTCTGTTAAATTTGGCATGCAACGTTTTAATAATTTTTTCGGTAATAGTAACGTTGCTCTCCCCATTTACACAGTGTTACATACTAGCTCACGTCTGATTGGTCGTCCTTCGGCCTAGCTCACTTCTGATTGGTCTACCTTGAGCCTCGCATCCTTGGCACAAGGTTACGGCGGTGTTCTGCAATTCCGTTGATATCGCGTGTTGTATGTTTCAGCGTGCCAACGCTTTTAACACTCCAAAAACATCCATAAACTGTGTCTATCACAAAACCGCTTTAGAGAGTGATAAAACCTATGTCACAGGCATTCTCTTTCTGTGAATAAAAACGTAAAAACAAGTCGATCCAGAAAGCTAATAACAGAGCGGCACACCCGTAACCTCTAGCAAGTTGACCAGTCTAATAAAATTATTAATGGAACATGACCTTCTTTGTTTGGGGAGAATAACGTTTGCTTAAAGAATAATTTCCTTTGTATACACATTTAGTAATGCAAAACAAGCGTCTAGTTTGCATTTAGTCATATTTTCAGTATATTAAAAAAAGGAGAGAGGGGGTTAAAAGCAAACAGTCAACTTGCTTACATTTAACTGAGCTAGAGAAACTTTTAAAAACACCACATAGCTCGCGTTTTATACCGTTTTACTCTCAGGTGGTGGTCTCTAGCATCAGGCTCCCGTGAGTTAGATTAGGACCATTCTTCCTTGTATGCGGATAGGCTATCGAAATAACCACCACACATCGCTGTGTGTCAATTACTGTGTAAGTGTGTGTGTTTTTCCCCTTAGGGGTTAACAAGTCGGCTCTGTGGCTAAGTCAGTGCGAACGCTTTGTAATGCCCAGATGCCGGGTTCGATCCCAGCTGCGGGCCATGCGCCTTGCGTTGGTTTCGACAGTGGTAGCAAGAAAGCCGACCGTCCAGAGGGCAATGGCAAACTACTGGAGGTAAATTTGCCTAGAAAAACCACACAACAGCCAGGAGCTGGGGTTAGTTATGCAAGGTCCTGTAAAGGATACGCAACTAACTAACTAAGGAGTTAACAAATTATTAGTCAAAGAAAGATCAAAGAAATTAGCCACTTTGGGAAAACAGCAGCACCTGTGCAACTGTAAACTGTAAAATCATAAGAACACGTGAAATTCAAGCCACATGCAAAAATGTGTCTTGATCATTTACAGGAGATCCGACATATTGTTGGTTTTTTTTCTGTTTTTTTTTTTTTTTTTACGACCTTTGAAATGCACTATAATAAATTCTCCATGCTGATGGATTTTCGGCGCGGGAGCAAACGTATCCAACAGATTGGTTCGCAAAAGGAAGATTTATGCTGGAGTCTGAATTTTCGCTCCCTGGTGTCTCCGTAATAGCCCAAGTCTTCTTTCGAATATCACACGCGGAAGGGTTAGGTCTGAGCAAGATATCCGTATCAATGGCTGTAGCCACGGCCAGCTCCAGACATCGTGTCGACAACTCAAACGGGAATTCCCGTTTTTGTGAGGCTGGCGAGGCCGGTCAGTGGTAACACTTGTTGTAGAGTAGAGTTATATATATAAATTGAACTACAGTTTAATTAATTTGCAACATGTGCTATTGAATAAATTATCATTTTGAAGATAAATATTTTGTAATAGCCCATTTATGTATCGTCAAAAAAAAAAATGGATTTAATAACACATGTTGCAAATTAATTATATGATAGTTCAATATGTGTATAAATCTACTCGATAACAATTGTTACCACCGACCGGCCTCGCCAGCCTCACACAAACGGGAATTCCCATTTGAGCTCTATTACCTTATATCTGGAGCTGACCGTACTGTAACTTAACAGCTCCCGTCAAAATGTGATCTGATAGAGATAATTTCTTATCCTTCTACTTCTCCTTTTGCTTCTCCTTCTTCATCTTTTTTGACAGACAGACAGACAGACAGACAGACAGACAGACAGACACAGACAGACAGACAGACAGACAGACAGACAGACAGACAGACAGACAGACAGACAGACAGACAGACAGACAGACAGACAGACAGACAGACAGACAGACAGACAGACAGACAGGTAGGCAGGCAGACAGACAGACAGACAGACAGACAGACAGACAGACAGACAGACAGACAGACAGACAGACAGACAGACAGACAGACAGACAGACAGACAGACAGACAGACAGACAGACAGACAGACAGACAGACAGACAGACAGACAGACAGACAGACAGACAGACAGACAGACAGACAGACAGACAGATACATACAGAGACATACATACATACATAAATACATAAATACAGACAGAC